TGAACAAATGTTGATTTGTAAAATGCTCGATAAATCGGTCGTTGCACATAGTAATAGGAATAAACGAGTGAAGTAAATGGATTTTAGTGATGAGTTCAACGAATAAAACACCCGACGCATCAGCAACTCTTATACCGAGCACTGCCAAATGCAATCGTGCACAAAAATGGGTTTGCTCTTGTTGTCAAAAGGGACTCAGACCACTGCTCAAAGAGTTCGGTACTATCAGAAAATTTTTACCTAAAACAATCTCAACGGATCATTTCAGTAAAAATTCTAATAAAAATCGGTTAGTGGATATCAGCTTCATAGGATATTCATATATTTTGTACTTTTATTACTTGTTCCATTTGGTGATTAGAACATTTCGTTGATTTAGTCCACTTTTAAACTATAATCTGAGGACGAATACTTTTTGCGTTAGTTTCATTGAATTGTCAACAAGCATTGTTTAACTGAATAAAATTGTGTGTGGTTGATCATTTCCAGTAAAAGCTGGAAATAAACGGCAATATTCATAGCACAAGTAATGAGAAATTTTTCCAAGCGAATTCTCTTGATCCATTGGAATAATTGCTTCAAACAGTTTCGTGAACTGAAAAGCACATACACTTGTTTTCAATTGTAGTCATCATAATCAGAACTGAATGTTAATATGAAAAACTGAATGAACAAATAAATGTGAATAACTGAACCGAAAGCAGGTATATGGATGTATTGTGCTTGGATGAAACACGTGTTATATTACAAGGGAGATCAAAAGAAAACGATTACATTCATGCTAATTGGGTTATATTACCGTCATCACGTAAATATATTTGCACGCAAGGACCGCTTGAAGAGACTGCTGAAGATTTTTGGCTAATGGTTTTTAAGGTTCACTTTCGAATGTGTTTTTGCATTGTATTCAAAATAACTATTCAATGGAATGTAGTGTTTTGCAGAAATGTTATTGACGGGGATCGTCCGAGAGTATTCTGATGCAGCAGTGCTGTCAGATTGTTGGTTTTGTCATCGATGAATGCTTGTTCGGTACTAACGGAACTAATTTTAGGAGAATGTTACAGCGATAATAATGTTATGTGATATATGTGAAAATGGAGAACCGAAGTGTGCAGAGTATTATCCGAGTTCAGTTGGTAAAACGTTGACATTTGGTGATATCAAAATTAAAAATATACAAAAAGAAAAACCAGTCGATACAATTATTTGTTATACGTTTTCTGTTGAAATGAGGTAGGTGATCTTCACGTGTCTTTGTCAACTACTGAGTTGAAGCTTGATGAGTGCGATGAGCGTGCAGTGAAGTTGATACATCGAAACCTTGTGACCCTCAAGTCGTCTCTGATGATCTCCTAGAATGCTATCAAACTTCACACAACTTGTTATGATCAACTCAAATGTCGACTATAATTTCCTATAGTAATCGCTATCAATTGAGGACATAAACGATACCCCAAAAGAAGTAAAAGTCTCGATAAGGGACGCTATTCTTTCTTCGTACATCCATTCTCACGATTAGTGAATTGCATTAATATAATGTTCTTACAACTAGTGTCAGTGCAGTGAACAGGAATTATTCATTGATATCAATCAACAATAACAACGTTTCGGTTCTACGCCATCATCAAGAAGGAGGTAATACTGAGGCACTGAAGGAGATCAATGAGATTTCAGTAATGAAACGCATAAATTAACTCATTACAAATGGGGTGACTGGCCCGATCGTGTGGCACCAGCAACAGCCGTGCCAATAGTCGAATTAATCTTACGATTAAAGTCAAAGCAACCAACTGGTCCTTATGTGGTTCATTGTTCTGCGGGAATCGGTCGTACAGGAACGTACTGCGCGATTGAATATGCTATCGACAAAATTACAATGGAAGGGAATTTATCGATTGTGGATGTGAGTATTTTGAATTTACTCATTCATTTTCTTTTAGTGCTTCGTTCATTCATTTGAGTGATATATCATAAGAGTCATCGGAATATAGCATACCCGGATGGTAGCTGAAAATCATTAGTGTCTTTGATATGATGATGTGATTCGGCATAAGTTTAGGTTTTAGTTCACGGTTGTATTGAATTTCTTCATTGGACAAGGCTAAGTGCTTGAACAACTGAATGATTTGATACCGTTGTATAATGAATTGCCTATAAGCTATATAGAGACTAAGTAAGTATCTGATGAGACTGATTTTGACGTTGAATGGTCAAATAACTATTGTCATTTAACAAGTGCGGTTGTGATGAAATAGTTATTGACGACAGGGAAGTAAATCCTTGTCAGTCAGTAAAACAATCTACTCTCACCATTCACTAGCTATTCGAGAAGAGCATTTGAATATTGTTGAACAAAATCGCGATTAATTTCTCTCCTCGAACGAAGACAATTCCAGGTAATAAAAGAAATTCGACGACAGCGTTTGCATTCGGTGCAAACTACACTGCAATATTTATATTTGCATGTCACTCTGATAGAATATTTAGCAACGACAAAAGTTATACAACGAGATGCGAATACCAAAAAATTTCAACGTGATTACGAGAAGTATTTAAAAAAATACAATGAAAAAAATGCGCACTGAAATTAATTAAGTGAAGTAAAGTTTCGAATAAACTTTTCGTATAAAACAACGAAATAGTTCGTTTTGTTTGTTCATGAAATAAAACGATGCCGTCCATCCAGACACCAACACATTCAAATCTGTTGCATTTTATCCACAACATCTCAATGTTATCTTATCTAAAATCGAGTTTAAGCAATTTTTTGTGAAAGTACTTTGCCTCATCTTCTCAACGGCTGAATTTCACATGATTATGAGTGTGTGTGTAATCGTTTGTGCTTGCCATTCCCGCATGCCGCTGAAGCAGTAATTACCAGTTGATGACTGCTCGGAAAAGTGCAAAATGAATCGCGAAACGCACTCAGAAATCGATTTCTATTTAGCTACTCTCGAAACTGCTGCTGTGGTGGTTGTTTGCATTTGTGATATACACAAGGAGGAAACATGTGGATGGATGGATGTTGCTCTATAAGCAAAATACATCCTTCAGTTGTGTGATGTATTCTCAAGAGTGACATTGCTTCGATACATAATTGTATGTCTATGAAGTGGGCATGATACTTGTGTGTTTGTGAGTGAGTGGGAAATCAAATTAGCAAAAGTTGTGTTCAAGTTTACCGCATAGAACGCACGGTTGCAGCAATTGAATGCGCACAATTTCTATGAGTTTGATAACTCTGCGCTTGTATTTCATTTCTTCTCTCGCTCGTTTCTAATGTAGATTTGATNATATTGTTTGTATTTTAGGTAATGTAATTTGTAATTTCGAAAATTTGGGTCATATTCAACGCTAGTGCGTGTTTTCAAGAAGAAATGCTTGATTGGATTTGATTAGAATTCGGTTGCTAATTCAATTCTAGCGTTAATGTTCTCACATATTCTCTCACAAGATATTTTGCTCTATATTCTTCCTGTGCTATCGAATATCGTTTACTTCATCCGTTCACCATCATGTGTTCACCGCTGACATTGATCGATAGGTGCAGTGCTCATTGAAACTCCGAAAAAAATTAATTGGTATTCCTTGTCAACTTCATCCGAATTGTACCTCATCCAGAAGTGCTTTTAAAGCAATGTTTCATGCGCTACTTGATGACTGGCTACATATTCCCTCGAATACTGGTCGCGTTTCTGGTTCATTCTCTTTTCTCATTAATATCATACACAATGTGATTAGGCAAGACTTTTCTAAGTGTATGAATTTTAGAATAGCTTATTTATTACAGAAATTAGTTGTTTTTTCAATTTTCGATTTCCACTCGATGAGTGTAAATTTACATTCGATTATATGATCGTTAATAGGTTGATTAGTTTAGGTCATCGCATTAGAACGACTAATTGCCACTTTATTCGACTCGACTTTTTATTCAAACAACTGAGTAGAGTATTTTATGCCTCACAATAATTACGCAGTTAGAATGATTCTTTTCAATCTAGAACAGTGCTNTTATTCAAACAACTGAGTGGAGTATTTTACAATAATTACGCAGTTAGAATGATTCTTTTCAATCTAGAACAGTGCTTCTCACGCTCTGGTGCTCCATGGTCTGATAGGGTGTCATTACCCCCATTCCACTACAAGAACTCATTATTTCCACGCATAATATCTCATTCATAAATATGAAAAGAATTTCAGTCTAAAATCGCAATGCGCAATGGTCACATGGTGCACATTTGTTATGAATCAGATATTTATGACGCGATTGAGCAATTACATCGTTCAAAAAAATCATTTACTAAGTGGAAATCCCATTATATGCACTAGTTAGAAAATTTATCAGAACTCTTCAGTGCAACCGAATACTAATAATCGATCAATTCAAAAATACTCATTCATTTCGCACCAAACCAATGATCTTTGCTGCCGTAATAAAGAGCTCAATCGATTCCCACTGCTCTTAAGAGACGATATCAGCCGTTGTATTAAAAAAACTTGCGAAATATTTGTGGCCACTTTAAACTGACTTTTGTTTAGGCCTAGAAGAGCCAAAGATACAAAATGGAAGAAAAAGAATGTTGCCGTGAGCAAACGGCATATACAACAAACTCAAATGAAAAAGCACTGTCATAATGGCGTTCCATCATAATATAACAGCTGCACGAAATACTGATTTCCCGACCTCTCCATTACCATACTGGCACCCTCAGATTACCCAAAAGGGGACAATTCCCCCCCCCCTTCACCTCCTCCGTGAGAACCCTTGGCCCAGAACTATTCTTTATCCTTATGGTTCTTTTATTTTTCCAAAAAACACTAGAAGATTTATATGCATACTCTCATTTCAGATTGAATATTGAACGTTTTTGAGTCAGAAATCTAAAAATCCTCAACGTTCACCAGAGAAGAGAGAATTGAAAATAGCTATGGGAAACATAAATGAACGTCGTTCATCGCAATCAAACGATGTGAGAGGAACAAATTCGGGTGCAAAACGTTTAAGAAAATATCATCAGGTTGCGTTGGTTATGGTTATTAGACGTGATTGTTTCATTGCAAATTAACAATTTCTTTGTTGCAAACAGTTAGCTGTCGTGTGACATAAATTATTCAATTTGTTATGTATTCCGCCAATGAATTACTTATAACTGATAGCAAGCAATTTCGTTTGCATAGATAATTTCTTGCGTGAGCAGTGAAAATCGAAGAATTGAAATTGTGATTTCATTGATGTACTGTCTGTCGTTTTGCTGTCACATTGTTTTGAAGTGTTCGAAAATTCAGCGTGAAGCATTATCGAATCGCAACGAACGATCACCAGTTCCAAAAAGACCTCGTTCAATATTCTCGTTGCCGTCACGCTCACCAGTTCATTATCATTCGCCATCACTTCGATCGTTTTCGGCTGATCAAACGAATCTACTTTTGGATCAAGATTACGGTTTCATTTTTTTTTGTTGTTCAGACTCAGTAATTTGTCGATCGTTTGCGCAAATGAAATTGATTTCATTGATGTGCTATCGCCTCATCGACTATTTTATTGTCAGCTTTACCAGTATAACTATTGATATCATTGATATCACTGTTGATAACACTCATTAAATTATCACGTTAATTCCCGAGACCAGCAATGTTGACAGCAATGTTATTGTCAGCATTACCAGCATAACTATTGATTTCATTATCGTTGTTTTATACATACTCAAATGTTGTTCTTCAGATGCAAGTTCGTCCTCAAACGAAGAATCACCAATATTCGAGACTCAAAACCAAGCACATCAACTGCCTTGCTCGTCGTCATCGTTACCA